TAAATCTATTTAATAAAGAGATGAATGGCTGAAAATAAGGTCAAGGAAGGCTATAACTATTACAGGTGAGTAGTTTTTCTTCTTACTCTATACTTCCCCTTCTCCATTAAATGTACTTGGAGGACAAATCAGAGCAAATAAGCAAAAAAATTAACAACCAGTATTCACAATATGCTGAAAGAGTTGTCATTTAGGTATAATTATGAACAGAAATGCAATGAAAACATTCCACAGTCTTGCAAAGGCAATGCAAGAGGGAAGTCTCTACGAGGGGCATTACGTGATGAGCATCTATCTGATACCTAGTATACCAGCAGAGCTCAGAGCAGGCTACTTCTATGAGCAGGAAGGACAGGCTGGGTAGAAAACTGCAACCACTATATTAAATACATCCTCACAGGGTGGGGCCATCAAAAAATCAGCCATACCTAGCAATTTTTCACCAACAGGTACGAGGTGATGCTGCAGCACTGCATATAGTACAGACAAATGCCTGGTTGAGAACATTCACATTTCACAGGCAAAGGTGGTAAAGGAAACACTGCTAGTGAGCAAAGGTTCAGTTTGCAATCATGAAACTTGAATATGACCATAGAGAACAAATTACTGAGTGGGATCGATACAGTTTGGGAGTTTGTTTTTGTTTGTTTTAATCTCATGTGACAGGTACTTGGAAAGGACTTTTACCAGCATACACTGCCTCATGGCAAAGAGATCATGAGCACCTACTTGGGTTTCTCATGTTCCTCACCAACAAGAGAACACTTGCCATAAAAAAATGGTCCTACAGAGCATTTGGCGGGGGTGGGGGGTGTGTGTGTCATTGAACTAAGCCTTCAGGAAACCCAACAAAGCTTTTAAGAAGGAATGTATGCTTTTTAAATATTAGGGGAACTAAAATAAAGGTGATGAAGGGGGCCGAGTAAAACACTGCCACTCCTTTTTCACCATAAGATTCAGTGCCTGAAGAGTACTCTTATGTCTCAAACATGATAATCCACAGAGATGCCAGAATGGCAAGTGGATACTCCTTATTAATTTTCCCAACAGAGACCAAACCAACTTTCTAAGGAAGTGTGCTTAGGGGGAAAGCTTAAGACCCTGCATGCCTCTGAAAAGTGTTTTCACTTTCTCAGAATCTGTACAAAATCAGTACATCCTGATGTACATAATGATCAGTACATCATTATCCTATGATAATATCTGTTAATAATCTCCGAACATTTACAGAATTTCTTAAATAATCAAAAAGTTAGATGACAAGGTTTCCTAGATAATGGTTTGAAGCAGGCATGTCATAGTCTGTCATCTTTGCTTATATCTAAGTTAGACAATCATAGTGCTAGCAGGTCACTGCAGTCTCTAATGTCACAAAGGTAAAAGAAAGTGGCTTATATGTATGATAATGTATGCTCCAGAAAAGGAGCAACACACTTTCTGCAACACATAAAATTCACAGAGTATTATAGCCCAGCACAAGAAGAGAGGGTCTTTATCAACTCTTTTACCTACCATCAGATTTAGCAAAGGAGAGGAAGGCCGTTTTCCAGTCTATTTCATTTGGGAAAAAAAGGAAATAAAAAGGCAACTCCTCTTCTTAGAAGAGAAGTAGAGAGGATTTGCATGTCACTCCTATCTATATAGGGCAGGAGCATCTATATATCTATATAGACATATGATATACATAGGAGCATCTATGTATCTATAGGAGTGGATGTGGGTGAAAAAAAAATATATATATATATGATAGGAGCATCTATATATGAGCCTGCGGTGATATATATAAGAGCTGCCTTTTTTTTTGTTGTTCTGGTTCATGGGTACCAGGACCACATGGATGGCCTGACAGCCACCAGTGAGAATTTTTCATGTCCTGGAAAGCACTACAACAATCTGCAGGTGGATAACGAAGTCTCAAGAGCAGGCCCACAGGTCCTGTTTGAGAAGAGATGCTGCTTGACAGCCAGGAGGTTACAGGCAGGGGGAGAAGGCTGCAAAAACTGCTCAAAGGCAGATGGAGAGAAGGCACACATGCCATTGACCACTAAGGAGGGGGGGGGGGGGGGGGGAGTAAAAATAT